ATATATATATATATATATATTAATATGTATATATATATATATATATATTAATATGATATATATATATATATATATATATATATATATACATATATATATATATATATATATATATATATATATATATATATATATATATATATATATATATATATATATATATATATATATTAATAAGTATATATATATATTAATATGTATATATATATATATATATATATATATATATATATATATATATATAAGTATATATAAGTATATATATATATATTAATATGTATATATATATATATATATATATATATATATATATATATATATATATATATATATATATATATATGTATATATATATATATATATATATATATACATATATATATATATATATATATATATATATATATGTGTTATATATATATATATATTATACATATGTATATATTATATATATATATATATATATATAAATCATATACATATGTATATATATATATATATATATACATATGTATATATTATATATATATATATATATATATAATCATATACATATGTATATATATATATATATATACACACATATATATATATATATATATATATATATATATATATATATATATATATATATAATATGTATAACATAAACAATATAAAACGAGAAGGAGATTATGAACTGTTGAAATTATATCGGCACTTGTTTAGAGAATTTCAGGCAGTCGTGTATTCATCGGAGAGAGGTTTTTCGAAACCATAAGCTTACCTGAGGTCAGGAGGGTCATCCTGAGCCAGGTAACTATTGTCGGCTGGTCGCTGTCCACCACATTGAAGGAGATGGACGTTATGTTCTCCACGCACGAGCTGTCGTCGTTGTCAGTCAGATACGTCGTCGATTTCCTCGGCACTGACGACATGAAGTTCGAGCTCGCAATATCCTCTAAGAAAGAAATGAAAGTAAACAACTACGTTTTTTTACATGGAAATTTGTAATTGAAAGAATGTAACTAAATGTTAAAGAACAAGAGTAAGTAAAGTTCATCTTTAGACCTAGCGATCAGCTTGGTAGAAGAAGTTGAGCTCGTTTGTTTCTTGATCTTGGAATATGATGGGATGGTGAGGTCAGTACCAAGTGTTACTGCCTCTTCTTTCCCCAAAGTAAGTCAGGTACACCACCAGAGTTAAGTGGACTCAGCGAGATCCGAACTCGGGGTTCCCAGCCAAACGCTCCACCATTCGGCATGAACGTCCCATACGTGCTAAGAGCAAAGTTGGAATCTACTTACGGTACTGGCAAGCTGGACCAAACCACTTCGGGTCACATTGATTGGGGCACGTGCCTTCACTATCACACACGGCGTTTTGACTACAGTGACACATGTACTCACACCTGGGGCCGAACCACCCAGCGGCACAGTCTGGAAACATTTGGTGCGCAGGTGTAAACATATTTACGACGTTATCATGCTATTGGGGATTTATGGACTAGAAACTGACATATTTATGAAGTGATCATGCTATTGGGGATTAATGGATTAGAAACTGACATATTTATGAAGTGATCATGCTATTGGGGATTAATGGATTAGAAACTGACCTATTTATAACTTGATCATGCTATTTGGGGATCAACGGATTAGAAACGGCAATTAAAATGATAAACTGGTGACCACCCTTAACCTAATCATTTCAATGTCTTGTGATCTCTACATTGTGTAATACTGTATTTCTTATTCCAACTGCAGATGCATATGAAACCTTTTCATTATAATAGCTCCCAAACATTTGATTATCTATGATAAGCCGAAAATGTAGATTATAAACATGTAAATATCTTATTATTAAACTTTTACTATAAACGCACTGTTAATCTTGTTTTTAACCTTGGTCATCGCATTTAACTAAACCTTAACTGAAACTAATATCAGTATATATTGAAAATCAATTGTGAAGTGCCAATTATCGAACAGTAAGTATTGGGAATGCTCCATTATTATTTATTTTTAAATCCTCTTATATGTAGGTTTGGCTTTATACATGAAAACTCAAACATTCATCCAAAAGTATATATTTATTTCATTACACTAAATCACAAGTTTTAACAATAGTATTTAAGATAACAATGTTTATAATATTTCAGCAATAATTTTTTTTGGTTTTGTTTTACTAAAAAAAACTATATTCATAATTTCCGTTTGTTTATACGAAACTGCTGATATAATAACTTTAATTACCTGCGGTCACAGAGTTAGCTAAACTAACACATATCAGTAACAGAAAAACTTCCATTTGTTTCACTTCCTAGTCGTGAATGATAAATGAACCGAGATCTAACTGAAGGTAGGACCACATACACGGCGCTTAATTCAAGAGTAGCAGAATAATGTAGGGCGGGGGGGGGGGGTATTTCTCAGCGGCTCTAATTTTGTATTTTTAGCAACACGGGACCGTAACAGTCAACGGTGATTGGATGTTCGTCTTTTGTTTACTTCTGACGTCTATGTAGTGTGAACACGTGACAAAAAGTCTCTGGGAAGAAACTGCTGACAAAATATTACGCATAACATGGACAAAAAAAATTAAGACAGTGTAAAACAGACTGACTGTCCAAAGTAAAATTAAAATTGGCATCTATAAAATTGACCGGACAGTAAAATACGCCAGAATGATAACGAAGTCAAATTCTAATGCATACACCCCAGAGAAAATAGATTATACTAAATATCACATACCGAGAATAAATACTCGAAGAAAAGAAATCAGACAAAATACCCAAAAATTAAACAAAATATACCAGACAAAACAAGCCAGACAAAATACCCAAGATAAGTAAAGCAGACATATTTTAATTACCACAGACATGTCAATAAAAAATGACCACATAAAAAAAGAACAATATTTGTACATTAAACCTCTCACCGCATTAAGCATGAAACAATGATCAGCATTTTTCCCTTTTGAGTCCATGAAACATGGGGCAGATGAAGTAGAGTATATAGTGTGCCGTGTGGAGTGGTGGGTTGGATTCCTTTTGTCTTTTCTGGGACTATATTAAGTACCTTTGTCTACCCTTAAAATAATACTTTATGTCTTCATTGTCCATTTACGGAAGTGTTATATTACTCTACTTCAGTGTGAACACCCCAACGTGAGTACTGTTTCAGTTGGGTAGAAGAAATTTCATATATAAGTAGGGTGTCGGCTAAGATTTTAAACTTCATTATTGTTCAAGATGACTTAAACAATTATTTACCTTTAATTTGATACCAATTTTATTTATCAAATTTAATCGGTAGGGTAGCCTATAAAATGATTTGTGAAAAAAACGCGTTTATTTTTAAATGGCTCTATGATTTCAGTGATAAGGTGGGTTAGTTTTTTAAGGAGTGTTTTTGTGACGCGATTGACCGTTCACTGCCGTTCAGCAGAAAGGTGTCGTCTGCTAGATTTTTCGCCCATTCAAATACACGGCGGGCAAAATGGGCGGACTTAGTAAGCTGTTGTGTCGATTAAGTTATTATTTTTATAGGTTTTGTTTTTACCCTGCATGATTTTAATAACATTAATGACATTAGTTTAGTAGAAAGCAAGTTATAATTTTCTACAATTCAGAATATATTTTCAGTATGTTTAGAACAATATTACATAAAGCTATTCGAGTTTTGCTTACATTTATTATGTTCTGTTAGATATTATCAGAGATTATTACATAAAATGTACAAATTGCAAGTTTGCATCAAACACTTATCGTCCATTGTTAAAACTAGACCGGTGCCGTTGAATAAAATGCAAAAATAACAATTTTAATTATATATTTTTCAAATGACCATGAAACATTTAAAAAAACGGAATCACGATATCGTCGTTTTTGGCAGCGATCATTACTACCATCATGGGAGTAGCGAGGGGGGTGGGGGTGGGGGGTGCGGACTGCACCGGGTGACACCATTTAGGGGGGGGTGACACCAAGGCAAAAAATAGCAAAATATATAGAGAAAAACACGAGGGGGGTGCAAATCAAAAGTTTGAGGGGGGGGGGTGCAAATCGAAAATTTGAAAGTTTGTCCCTGGGAAGGGTCTCTATGCCTCTGGGGGGGTGACACCATTAAGTGCCGCACCGGGTGACACCCGACCTCGCTACGCCACTGACTACCATGACGACGTTAAAAAAGTAGGTCAAGTGACAGGCAATATATAAGAATACGGTCATTTCTAATGACATCGAACTAAGGAAGTAGTGCTTTACTGTGTTTTAGGTTCCTAAAGCGCTCTTAATTTGAGTATTAGTTCAGTTAAGTTGAAAAAATTGTAAACATAGGTATACGTTTCTATTTTCTTGATTCTGTAAAATTGAAGAGATTTCCGTTGATCGGTAATAGTACATTACGCTAATTCCGAATTCTCAAAAAAAAATGATGGTGTGATAATTCTAAATCACTTTTTGGTGCGAATTTTATTTTCCTACGAATTTCTATTCTTATATTATATGTTCATAAAAGAAAATTATTCTAAGCAATTTTCCTTCTATACGTTTTCACAAACAAAACAGGCAGTTTTGTCTCAAACTTCTACATTTCTATTGCCCCAGCTCCACTTTTTGTTATTAAAGAATATACGAGAGAATTAATGACAACTCACTCTTGTTTTATGTGTTTCAAAATTTCAATACTTCTTATACAAGGTAATAAAAAAAAGCACCTTCTGGAATTATTTTTTGCGCACTAATGTTCACCTTTCAAAAACAGATTGCCGCACCTTAAAAAATGTAATAAGCAAGTATTATTGTTTTTATCCTTGATTTTACTTGCAAACATTTATTAAAATATAGTCTAGTTGAAATTTAAAAAAAGGGTTAAACAATAATAATCTTCTTGATGTTAATTATTTATGTATAATATTTCAAAAATGTACAGATTGTAATTTATCCTAAATGCATTATGGTCCTACTGATTATGATTGTATTGACTATTTTAATTCATTTTCAGTACCAGACAACAGGCGAAAGATTTAATCGATCAAAATGGCACAAATCAATAAAGTATTTATTTTTATATTGGGTGTAGCGGTTATACTGTATATTCTACTATTCATTTTTCAAAGGTATGTAACTGTTTTAATTTATTAAAATATAGGCCATAAATAAATATTTGCATAAGAAGTAAACAGAAAATTTATAAATGTTCAAAATACATTGTTTATATAATTTCCAATATAGGTCTGTTAAACGCAGCAGTTAATACGATTTTACGGTCTCATTGTAAAAGAACAATTTAACAATCAGGTTTCAGTTTAACAGAAGGTCTAAAAATTAAGTTAAAGTATTGTAAGCATCAGTACCAGCTTAAGATTTGTGTAGATGTTGCTTCGCCTATGTAACAAACAACATATGAACTAATATCAGAAGGAAATTTGAAAATACGTTTATCATCACAGCTTACCTAATCATAACGATTAGCTAACCATTATTATAATGTTCACATTCCAATCTTGATTCCTACAAAATAATTGGGTGAGAGTATAACTATGTATGTATGGTTAATCCTTAATTATCTTAATACTTTGCAATTTTGTATTATGTAACACTTACGCTGCTTTAGTTAATACAAATGAAAATATTTATGTGAAGCATATATATATATATATATATATATATATATATATATATATATATATATATATATATATATTTCTTCTTAGTTTTCTTTTGCCTATTGAAGAACCACTGAAATTCGCTCTAATCCTAAATAAAGTTACTAATCCTAACTTATATATCTCACTATGTCTCAAACTCCTACCTTAGTATAAGCCACAACGCGAATCCCTGTTCCATGCTCTACCCTAAATCCTAACCCGACCAAAACCGAGCTAAGGAAAGAAAAGAAAGAATACATTACAGTATTTCCTCGATGAAGAACAAACGAACAGTTCAAATATCATCCAGTGCCATGCCACAGCGTTTCGTCTTCTCTTGTTACACTACTGACCTTAAATTTCTAAAGATGTCTAACTATTTTTCAAATATCAATCTTACTAATTACATCTTTAACCAAATGTTTATGTCTGCGCTACTTATGAAGCTATTGTCTTTGCGTTTATAAAGATGTTACAACCACATATTTACCCAGCCTTTTTACCAGAAAGAACATCATGTCAGAAACATCCATGTCAACATACAGAAAAGAACACTTGCTTCAGCATGGCTTATACGACGTCCACTTCTCCCAGGCGACGGAAGAAGAATTCTGGGACGATGGTCCGATAGATATCTATGAAGCTTTTGCTCAACATTCCTACAAGACTTTAGAGACGTGTAACAATTCGTGTGAGGCTAACCTAACTATATGTGATAAGGCTAGTCTAGAATCCTTAAAGAATTTAAATTTAACATTCGAAGGGGTTTTACCTTTTAGACCTTTTCTCGAGAGAGGGCAGTATGTTTTTGAATGGGAGAAAAAATATTTGAGTTATCCCCCTTTGAACGATATTAAAACGCTGCCAGATTTGAAGTTGTCTAAAGTGACAGTTGAAAACACAAGACAAGGTGTGGTCAGGTGTAAGATACTTGAAACTATACACGGTCGTCTGGATGTTGTGGATGGGTACGGGCGTCAGAGAACCAAGGGAGACGATGTGGTCAGGGTGTGGATGAATAACTCTGATCACGCTGTTGTTGGTAACGTCACAGATTTACAAAATGGCAGCTATACATTCTCTGTCAAATGTTTGTGGGCTGGTAGCTCTAAGGTAAGTTTAAAGATTAGTATCTTATACAGTTTTACTGAAAGTATAATAGCTACATGGTTTTGATGATGAGAATAAAGTACTGAGCTAATTAAAACTGTAGAATTTAGCTGATTAAGAACTCGGTGTTTGTTTTATACAATGCACAAGTCTTTTAAAAAAAACTACTACTTTTAACGCAATTTCCATACTGGGGGGGGATTGCGATTATTAACTCGTCATTTCTGGATGGATGAATGGATGGATGGATGTGTGTCCGCAGCGAGTCCGCAGCTTTAAGTCGTATCTCCTCCTCAACGAAGCAATATCGAGGATTAGTTCCAAAAGCAAATATGTTAAGCAAGTTCCGAGGATGAGCATAGGCCAAAAAAAAATCCCGGAATTCCTTCCTGGATTTCCCGGAAAAGCCAAAAAACCTCGAAAAAATGCAGTTTTTGGTCCATATCTCGGCAACCAGACAACTTAGCGACTTGAAACATTTACCAATCGATTCCTACCATAATTTACAACAATATTGCCGAAGAAAGTTTTCAAAATATCTTTTCGTTCGGTCACGAAAAAAAAAATTAAAATTACATAAACACCTACAAACCGATCGTTCTCATAGCTTGAACGCACCCCAGCATTATACGTCTTGTGTTTTGTCCCCGTGTGTGCTATTTTTAGATAACATAAGGAAATTGCGCTTAAATTGTCACTAGACTTTTTATTAACTTGTTTGTAATAGTTAAGTAAAATTTTTAAAAATGAAAACAAGTATTCAAATAATTGAACGTTCTCTAAATAATCGGTCGTCGATTTGACATGAACACACGGATTATCTTAAGCTGACTTTGGCCATCTCCTACCCACGGGAGTTTATCAGGATCGTCATCCACCAGATACACCTGGGTGTGAGTAGGTACATGGCGGCAGATTTCGTCAAGGATGATATACGTGAGGTAGGTAGCCTACAGGTAGATTCAGAATGATTTAAATAACCACAGTTTGATGCAGATAGGATAATATATAATACAAGCAGTTTTATTCAAAATAAAAATAAGGAAACTATATTGCTGTATATGTAATGTTTAAATAATATGTAAATGTTTAAATAATGTTTAAATTATTGGGAATGTGATTGTTATAGTGGCGTAGTTCGGAATCGGAATTAGAGCCTACGTGGGAGGGGGGCGGGGGAAGTGAGGTTTAGGTTTTGGGTTTAGGTTTAAGTAATCGTTGCTTTAAAAATGCCTATAAAGATAGCTATTACGTGAATATCGTCCATTGTGTTAAATTACATAAATTGTTGTCTTTTCTCATTAGATAGATTTCTGATTGTAATAATAATAAACACGAGCCGACCCGCGGCATATCATACGCCTCTATTTAGTTGTTTTTTTCTACTTTTAGTAATTCATAATTTATGAATTCGACAGTACCAATGCTGCCAATGAAAATATTTGCTTTAAAACACTAAAACCCTCTTCCCCCCCCCCCCCCCCCCCAGGCGAAAGCAGCCTCCTCTGAGTTACCTCCCCTAAGTTTAAAATCGTTTCAAACTAAATTATCTGCCCCTAACAGCCGTCACTAAATCCGTCTCTACGATTGTAAACATATAGCGTGAACCACAGCTCACCGGACCGTGTGGGGGTGTGGGGGGGGGGGGGGTGTAGCGACAGCGATATGCCTATAGAGGAAGAGAGGGGACTGCTAGGCGCGCTTACAGCTTGCTTTCTAGGGTCTCCAAGAAGATAATTATATATATAGATTTTAAAACATTTGTATATATGTATATATATATATATATATATATATATATATATATATATATATATATATATATATATATATATATATATATATATATATATATATATATATATATATATACATACATACTTACAATATGTGACTACTTTGCTTTCAGCGCACCATCTGTTTTCAAACCCCAAACATACCAGGCTGGGAATGTATCTGTAACTTCAGCAAGTTTGGTTATGAGAATTTCTACTGTGGTAGACCGAGGAATCCACAGTGAGTGAAAGCACTGGACTAAACTCTAACCTTGTTTTAACTATCACTTGCGCCTCGGAGTAGGCCTACAGAATTACATAAAATAGGCTGTCATAAAACACTTTTTAAAAAAGTTGCTTAGCACTGCACTAAAATAACAAGATATAAAAAAAAACAAATGCAAATTACACATGAAAATCATAAGGTAGCAAAAAAGACAATACAACACAATCAAAGAACAACCAAATCAATCAAAATACAATAAACATTCCACACAATAAAACTGCATTAAAAATTAAAACAAAAAAAAAAACTTTGCAAATATAATAAAAGCTTAATACGACACAACAAACCACTACAATACAATCCTATACAATTTTATAAATAAACACAAAATAGGAAATACATCACACCTAAACGAAGTATCTTGCACATCTAGTATAAACAATACTCTTTTGATATAGCTCGCCATGACAGCTATTTTCAATAACTGTCATCAAGTATAACCAGTGTTTCTTCCAGACTTTTTTCTCCGGGGAGGGGGGGGGGGGGGAGAGGAGGGGGGGGGCACTTGAAATTTTCGGGAGGGCGGTAGACTTTTTTCGGGGGGGGGCGGACACTGTTAAAAGTATATAATTTCTATATGAATTATATACATTTCATTTAGTTCGAAGAGATGCCTGGAAGAAACTCTGAGTATAACTCACTCTGATTTAATGAAATTAAAATTTTATTATATATATATATATATATATATATATATATATATATATATATATATATATATATATATATATATATATATATATATATATATATATATATATAAACATGTATATATATACTGAGAGTGATATAGATATAACGAAAAATACATAGTTAAATACATAGTTTATATATATAATTTATATTTATATATATATCTATATTTATATATAACTATATATCTATATATCTGTATATCTATATAAATTATTTTTCATTCACAGGCTGACTTGTGACGATTGGCTAAATGAATACCCTTCGGTCCTTGCTACACCTCATGATGTGACAGTAGCAGAGAATTCGTTAGTCGCTTCAATTAGTGGGTAATTATTAGCTTCTAAGTTGTAATAAAACGTAGGTGTTTAATCAGTAATTTTCTTTTGCCAATAAAGTATGTGTAGACAAGGTAGAGATTAGAAAAGCATCACGTATTTGTATGACAGAAGGTTTTCTTCGAAAAGTCTAAGAAATATTTCTGGGGATTTAAAAAAAAATATAGTGTGAGAGGTAAATTATAGAATTAGTCTAAATATCGTGTTTGTTGTAAATGAGTTGGTCGTGACTTCTTAATTAAAAAAGAATAACAATATAAGAAAATAAAATCCTGGTAGCTTGTATATAGCGCAGAGTTAAAATCGTTTTAAAACACACGTGTATGTAGTGACCATAACATTTTCTTATTACTGTAACCTTTCAGTTAGACAACTAAATTAGATTCGGTAATGTTGAATTTTACTGTCAATTTGAGACTTCCCAACTAACGGTTACCCAAATAAAATCTTATAAAATCTTATTTTAGTTTCTCCGTAATAATTTGAAGGATGGGGCAATATGAATTTTGAAGAAATGTAACCTAGCTAGTAATTATGTTAACTGATTTTATTTTTGAAAAAAATAATTCTTTAGATTTAAACGACATGCACATTTAGAATTATAGCTCAAGCTATATGATTTTCTAAACCTTTTTCTTCTTCTTCTTCTTCGTTCTTAATTATTAGTGTTGAAGGGGATCGAGATTTATCTGCCAGTGCGTTTTGAACTCGAGACTTTGTTCGAATTTATCAACCATGAGCTTTTTGCCGACTCGACCACGCCTCCAACACAATTAAGCAATATGAATTTTGAAGAAATGTAACCTAGCTAGTAATTATGTTAACTGATTTTATTTTTGAAAAAAAAAATTCTTTAGATTTAAACAACATGCACATTTAGAATTATAGCTCAAGCTATATGATTTTCTAAACCTTTTGATTCTTAACAAATTTTTATTTTAAAATAATTTGATAGTTTGAATTTCTTTTAGAACTCCAGAGCAGCGAGCAGTGTCTCACGACATACAGATAGTCACTGAAACTAAAGGTAAGCGAGACTACCATTTAATGTCTCTTTAAACAGGTGTGGGAAAAGTATTTTTATATATCAGGAAACATGTATGCGCTGAGAGTATGATATAAATATTTTTTTTTGTTTTACCCAAAATAGATTTTGTTCAATTTATGGCAACATGTCTGTGTTGAAGAAGTGCTGAAAAAATTTTTTGTTTTTTATTCTTTAGCCAAACTTCCTGAACTACAACCTTGTCGTGAGTCTAGTAAAAGAATAACGTGGGTCAGAGGTAACCCAAAAGGCTTCTGGACTTCCGGAAACAAATGGAACTCTCTTATCTGTAAAAACCAAGGAAATTTAACTTCAGACTGGACACGGAACTGTCTCCGGAACACTTCCGTTTGGTTCTTCGGTGACTCCAACGCCAGAAATGCATATTTTATGCTAGTTGGTATAGCGGAATGTAATCCGATGGTGGGGAAATACCCGGAAAAATCTGTGTGTTATGATAAGTCAATTGATCTCACCATCACGGTAATATCTCACGAACCACCAAAGTATGCACTAACAAAAAGAAAGGAAAACTTCACAGGCGTCCCAGACTTTATCCAAACCCTGCCAAGAAACAAAAAACACGTTCTGATCATCCATTACTATCTCCACTACACCGCCGCCCATCTTAGTGTCTTATCCTTACGCATGAGAAAACTCAGGGAAGCAATCGAGAAAATGCTGGAGACGAACCCGAATGTTCTAGTCGGTCTCAGAATCCCTCACGTGACTTCTAAGTACTACTCAACCAACCACGCCGTGGGCGGAGACCCTCTGGGCCCCCAGTATATCGATCTGATAAGGGAAATGTTCAGAGGTCTAGAGGATAAAATCGTGTTCTTAGATTTGTGGGAGATGTCCATTGGGATAGAAAATGTTGATTATCATCCCCCAAGGTACCTAAATCATGAAATGATCAAGTTTTTGTTATCGTTCCAATGTTAGCTTTCTATAACATTTTATAAAATCACGAAATGGTCAAATCTTTGCTATCTTACCAATGTTAGCATTCTTTAACAAGCATACATTCTATCAGTAAATCTAATATATACATAGGCATTTATAGCTAAATGTGTATGTATTAATAAATAAATTGATACATAAAAAACATTAAACAATTGCGTTTTTAAAATGTATACCCAAAACAGAAGATTTTTATGTTGTTGTAATACCGTCAGATCTATACTTACGTACAGATGAAAGATCTTTCTTTCTTTGTCGTTCTAAATTTTAAATGTTGTAAGAGTTTCCTTCCAACACAGATAAGTATTACTGCGTGTCATCTTGTTATACGTCATATAGGTCGTTGACTCCGATTTTAGCCACTTATTATTTTTGGATTTGCTTAAATAGCCTTTGTCCATCCAAGAAAAAAAAATACAAGCCAGCAGTTTTTGATTTTGGAGTTGTCTTCCCTCGAAGATTGGCTGTTCCCAGCTATCGAGCCTAATCTGACCTAAAGTTCAAACGCTGGACTTTTTGGTTATGAAACCATCCCCAGCTCTGATGGGTACCTGACTCCACCCCAGCTCTGTTGGGTACCTGACTCCACCCCCAGCTCTGTTGGGTAGGCCTTCCTGACTCCACCCCAGCTCTGTTGGGTATCAGAATCCAGCCCGGCTCTGTTGGGTACTTACTCAATCCCAGCTCTGATGTGTACCTGACTCCACCCCAGCTCTGTTGGGTACCTGACTCCACCCCCAGCTCTGATGTGTACCTGACTCCACCCGCAGCTCTGATGTGTACCTGACTCCACCCCAGCTATGTTGGGTATCTGAATCCAGCCCGGCTCTGTTGGGTACTTACTCAATCCCCAGCTCTGTTGGGTACCTGACTCCACCCCCAGCTCTGATGGGTACCTGACTCCACCCACAACTGATGGGTACCTGACTCCACCCCAGCTCTATTGGGTACCTGACTCCACCCCCAGCTCTGATGGGTACCTGACTCCACCCCCAGCTCTATTGGGTACCTGACTCCACCCCCAGCTCTGATGGGTACCTGACTCCACCCCAGCTCTATTGGGTACCTGACTCCACCCCAGCTCTATTGGGTACCTGACTCCACCCACAACTGATGGGTACCTGACTCCACCCCAGCTCTATTGGGTACCTGACTCCACCCCCAGCTCTGATGGGTACCTGACTCCACCCCCAGCTCTATTGGGTACCTGACTCCACCCCCAGCTCTGATGGGTACCTGACTCCACCCCAGCTCTATTGGGTACCTGACTCCACCCCAGCTCTATTGGGTACCTGACTCCACCCCCAGCTCTGATGGGTACCTGACTCCACCCACAACTGATGGGTACCTGACTCCACCCCAGCTCTGATGGGTACCTGACTCCACCCCAGCTCTGATGGGTACCTGACTCCACCCACAACTGATGGGTACCTGACTCCACCCCTGCTCTGATGGGTACCTGAAATGCGAATTATCTAACAGTAGGTGCTTGGGTGGTTCCCTTTTTTCACAAATTCTTAAAAATGTTGGTTAGGCTACCGACATGAAAACTCAAACATTCATCCAAAAGTAGTTACTCATTTCATTGGACCAACTAATACGTTTTACAAATTACTTTAAGGTAGTAATGTTTACAATATGTCAGAAATTAATTTTTTTAGTTTTGTTTTGTTGAAAAAAAAATACATTCATCTTTTCCATTTGTTTATGCAAAACTGCTGATATAATAACTTCTATTACCTTAGGTCACAGAGTTAGCTAAGCTAACACATATCGGTAACAGAAAAAACTTCCGAGTCGTGAATCATAAATGTACCGAGATCTAAATGAAGGTAGGGCCACAAACACGGCGATTTATTTAGGAGGAGCGCTTAATGTAAGAGGGTGTTAATTCTCCTGTTTTTATTTTTAGCAACACGTGACCTTAACAGTCAACGGTGATTGGGTGTTCGCCTTTTTTTTTTACGTCTGATGTTTATGCAGTGTGAAGACGTGACAAAGTGGGAAGAAATAGCTGACAAAATATTTCGCATAATAGGGACTAAAATATTAAGCTTGTGTAAAAAAGACTGAAAGTTTAAAATAAAATTAAACGAACAAAACATTTCAGACAAGTTGACATTAACAAGACAGTGAACTCTACGCTTGAACAATAACGATGACGAATTTAAATACACCATGCATACACCGCAGAGAAAATAGATTATACTAGATATAACATACCGGGAAGAGAATTCAGACAATATAGGCCTACCCCAAAAATTAAAAAAAATAAAATTAAAATTAAACAGACAAAATACCACAGAAAAAATCAAACCAAACCAAATACTCCAGACAAAATACGGCAGACAAAATTTACTAGAAAAATGCTACAGGCAAAATTAATCAGACAAAATACCGCAGACATGTCAATTAAAAAATTGACCACAGATAAAATAAACAGGAAGGGATCTCCCCTAAACATTCTCGAATATTCGTATATAACACTACGGGGGATGGCAACTCGGGATTTCCGTTAATCCATTTAAATTACTTAAACTTTCAAAAATCGAATGCAATCTCGTAGAAAAACGAATTGAGCACAAATATAACGCTAAACAACAAGTATATAATAGTGCTTAATATTATTAGTGCGTTATAATTTCACATGCGTTTTGGAGAAATCGGAAATAATTTTCCGTCAACGGGAATTACTCAAAATTTGACAGAAGGCGTCGGTGTGGTCGAGTCGGTAAAGCTCAAGTTTGCTAAAACCGAAAAGTCTCGAGTTCGAACCCTCGGGCAGATGAGGCTCTTTTGCTGGCGACAGTCAGTCTTCTAGTAGAGACAACTCCAAAATCAAACAACTGCTGTCTTGTAGTTTGTTCTTGGTTGGACAAAGGCTATGGAAGCGAATCCAAAAAGAAAAGCAGGCTGAAATCGGAGTCAATGGCCTCAATGGCGTATAAACAGTTGACACGTATACTTAATTGTGTTGGAGGGGGACCCATCTAATACTAAAATTAAGAACGAAGAAAAGGAAGACAGAAGGCAGATATTTAGATCATTTACTTACATGTGAAATAGCATTTATCTACCTGCAACAGTACTCAAGTTATAGGCTTTTGAAAAATTGAAAGTGGAATAAATGTCACTTCCTGTTATCGGAAATTGCTGAAAGTTTGATACCGAACTACTAATTTAATATTATACTTAAGGGCAGGTTAAACCCCCAATTTAAAAATTAGGTGTTAGGACTTTTTTTGAGTGATAAGGAAGTTGTAACTAACATAGTAGGCCTATATGAAAAAAATGCAAAAAAATTAGTAAAAAGTTATGGTTTTGTGAAAATTGTTTCTAAAAAGTGTCATTTTTAGGGTAAAATAGCTCAAAATTAGCTCTCATTGAAATCACAATACCAAAGCTTCTGTTTGTCAGAATAACACAAATCTTTATATTAGTGTAGTATACGCAATTATAAAAAAAGGTTAACTAAAACAAATAGAAAATAATAAAAAATGGATTTTTGCCAAATTTTTTAAATGTGAGACCTAAAATATTCCAAAAAGTAGGGAGTAGACTTAGCTTTTTATTATTTTAATTTGTGAAATTTCAAAGATATAGAAATTCGTATAGTTCAACTTAACAAGCAGTGGTTAGTGAACACGTGTGCAAAATTTCAGCTAAATATCTCAAGCAGTTTTTTAGTTATGGTGATTTAACTTGTAAAATTTTGTTGAAAAGTAACATTTTGAGAAAAACGCTAAATAGTGAAAAATATACTAAATTTGAAAAAAAAAACGAGAAAAAGCGAAAAATATACCAAAAAGTCATTTTAAACCTCCCAGTTACATAAATCGCATCTGGAGCCTCTTACTCAGCAATAGGAGCATCTCTTTTAGTTAGTTTTTAATTTTTATGTTGCTAAATGTTGCTTAATATAGGTGAATTACGTCATTACTCTCATTAATTAAAAAATTATAAAAAATACTAGCAATACATAATTTGGCAAAATAATTACACAAAAATTTTCAGAATTGAATGTAATTTCAGAAACAATAGATTTTGAAAAAAACAACATTTCTGACTTAAATATGTATGTGTGGGGGGGTTAACCTGCCCTAAAATATAAGTGATATAATACTTATATATGAAATTTCATCAACCTAGCTGTAACGGTACTCAAGTTATCGTGTTAACACACACACACACACACACATACACACACATACAACCAATTTTCTACCAGAATATAATACACAATAGCGGCTTATGGGGTAGGCCTATAGATTAATCGTTTATATTAAATAATACAACATCCACTATCACCACAACTACTGACTCTAAAAATCCAAATAAAAAAAACCGGGAGTGATCTCCCCTAAACTTTCTCGAATATTCTTATATAACTTGGAATATAGACATGGTTTTTAATTACTTAAACTTTTAAAAATAGAATCTCATCGAAAAAAGAATTGCGCATGAAGCGAACGCCAAAACAAAATGTGCATAATATAAATTTATAAGCGTTTTTTGAGAAATCGAAAATAGCGTAAATTAGTACTTCCGGTCAACGGAAATTACTCAAAATTTGACAGAAGGTAGAGAATTAGATCTTTTACTTACATGTAAAAGTTCAATTATCTATCTGAAATAGTACTCAAGTTATAGGCTTTTGAAAAATTCAAAGTAGGAAAAGTACCACTTCCGTTTATCGGAAATCGCTCAAAAGTTGATACGGATCTCCGATTTTGATAAAATACTTATATATGAAATTTCATCAACCTAGCTCTAACGGTACTCAAGTAATCGTGTTTACACACAGACACACCCACACACACACACACACACACACACACACACACACACACAGACACACACACAGACACACAGACATACGGACAAGATTGCAAAATTATGTTTTTCCGTATCAGTGAGGTGTAAAACGTCGAGATTTGTAAAAATTATCGATTTTTTTACTTTCTCGTATATACGAAGTATAGAGAAAGTATTGTAATCGTGCACAAAAATAACATGAAATTTTGACAGTTTTCACCGTTTTACTCCTCAGTCCTTCATCACATCCGGAGTATAGAGGACTTATTTTAATCGGGCAAAAATTATCAATCCAGATTTATCAAAATTAAGAGGTTTTATGCGTAATCCAGTCTGAAAAACTGGGTTTTGCAATTCTGTCCGTTTTCTGTGTGTCTGTCTGTCCGTGTGTAAACACGATAACTTGAGTACCGTTACAGCTAGGTTGATGAAATTTTATAAATAAGTATTTTATCAAAATCGTAGATTCGTCTCAACTTTTGAGCAATTTCTGATAAACGGAAGTGGTATTTTTTCTACTTTGAATTTTTTCAAAAGCCTATAACTTGAGTACTATTTCAGATAGATAAAAGAAATTTCACATGTAAGTCAAAGATCTAATTCTCTACCTTCTGTTAAATTTTGAGTAATTTCCGTTGACCGGAAGTAGTAATTTACGCTACTTCCGATTTCTCAAAAAGTACTAATAATATTGCGCACTATTATGCACTTTTTATTTGGCGTTCACTTGGTGTGCACTTCTTTTGTCTACGAGATTTTATTCTATTTTTAAAACTTTAAGTATTTAAAATTGATTAAAAATCATGTCTATAGCCCGAGTTCCCATCCCCTGTTGTTTTATATAAGAATATTCGAGAAAGTTTTGGGGAGATCACTCCCGGTTTATTTTTTTGCACGATTACAATACTTTCTCTATACTTCGTATATACGAGAAAGTAAAAACAAAAGTGTTAGCTCTTATATTTTTAGTAATTATTTGAATGAATATTACTAGCCTTAATAAACTCGGAAGTCGTTTTGCAATTATTTCTCAAATATTCTCAAATATTAAATTTTTTGGTGAAAAATGTGCTTTCTGACAACAACCATTTGGAACGATTTGAATCCAGCTTTTCGAGCTTATTACAATACTCCTTATACGAGAAAATAAAATAAAAATTGCACCTCCTGTAATTATTTTTTATGCACTAATATTCACCTTTGAAAAACAGATTACCGCACCTTAAAAAATGTAACAAGGAAGTATTTGTGTTTTTATCTTGACTTTACTTGCAGAATATTCAAATATTCTAGATATAGAATTAGATCTAGCTAAAAATGTTAAAAAAATTAATAACAACTGTTTTCTTGTTAATTATTCATTTATATTATTTCCAAATGTACAGATTGTAATTACCTAAATGCATTTATAAGCTTACTGTTTCTGATGGTATTGACATATTTTAATTATTTCCAGTACCAGACCTCAAGTAAATCATTTAATACATCAACATGTCACCAATCAATAAACTATTTCTTTTTATATTGGGTCTGGCGGCTTTACTGTATATTCTACTATTCATTTTTCAAAGGTATGTGACTGTTAATTTTTAAAATATAGGTCTTAAATAAATATTTAAATATTTAAAATTCATAAATGTTCAAAATATTAAATTTTAAATGTCGGTATAAGGAATAATTGGTTAAACACGATTTTAAGGTCTCATTGTAAAAGAAAAACTTTACCATTGAAATTTATTTTTAGCATCACAGCTAACCCCCTTTCCTTACGAAAGGTTTGTGGCATTTCTAAACAACTTTTAACTACTTTAGTGCCACACCATGGTTATCTCAGTTTGTAAAGCCTTTTAGTCGTTTATTTTCGTAACTTTGATTGTGTATAATTCAAAACTTAAACTGTTTAATTTTTTTTTCACTCCGTTGTCACATCTTAACGTGGACGCCCGGGTCGGTCACCCCACCCGCCTTCCCCTAGCTGCGCCACTAGTACAATAGCTCAGTTTAAACTTCCCTTGTTACGCCACTTGCCTTACAATTGTAAAGATGTCTAAACATTTTTACAATGGCAATCTTACTTATGAATCTACTGCGTTTACATTTATAAGTATGTCTTTAAACAATTTTTTTTATGTCAGTCTTACTTATGAAGCTACTGTCTTTACGTTTATAAAGATGTCACAACCACATATTTTCCCAGCCTTTTTACAAGAAAGAACATCATGTCAGAAACATCCATGTCAACATACAGAAAAGAACACTTGCTTCATCATGGCTTATACGACGTCCACTTCTCACAAGCGACGAAAGAAGAATTCTGGGACGATGGTCCGATAGATATCTATGAAGCTTTTGCTCAACATTCCTACAAGACTTTAGAGACGTGTAACAATTCGTGTGAGGTTAACCTAACTATATGTGATACCAGTACTCTAGAGTCCGTAAGAGATGTAATAAGCAGAGGTGTTTTACCTTTGAAACCTTTTCTCGAGAGGGGGCAGTATGTGTATGAGTGGGAGAGGAAATATTTGAGTTATCCCCCTTTGAACGATACTAGAACGCTGCCAGATTTGAAGTTGTCTAAAGTGACAGTTGAAAACACAAGACAAGGTGTGGTCAGGTGTAAGATACTTGAAACTGTACACGGTAGTCTGGATGTCGTGGATGGGTACGGGCGTCAGAGAACCAAGGGAGACGATGTGGTCAGGGTGTGGATGAAGGGAGGTAATAATTCGGATTACGCTGTTGTTGGTAACGTCACAGATTTACAAAATGGCAGCTATACCTTCTCTGTCAAATGTTTGTGGGCTGGTAGCTCTAAGGTAAGTTTGAACATTGGTATCTTATTACAATTTACAAAAGAGTTATAGCGGCATTGTTTTGAATACAAGTGTAATGTAATGCGTTAATTAAAATTGTAGAATTAAGTTGATTTACAAGAGAAATATGTTTTTGTTTTATACAACACAAATACCATTTAAAAAACTACTATAGTGTACTTGTTTTTGTAATGATTTAGTAAACGTTGAAAAATAAAAACAATGATTGCTAAACTTCCGAAACACACTTTAAGACATTACGTTTTTTTATTAAATCTTAATTATTTTTGGCATCTGATGTTTATTTCTTATACAATTTCGGTAGAATATTATTTTTAAAATGTATTTTAGCAAACATATTTAAATAGCAAAAAGTTGATATTTTATAATACATAATTCTAAGTAAGTTGTTGTTGATACGTGTTTGTTTTAATTGAATGTTCTGGCACTAATCTCTCGTCCATTGGATATGAACACACGGATTATCTTAAGCTGAATGTGGCCATCTCCTACCCCCGGGAGTTTATCAGGATCGTTATCCACCAGATACACCTTGGCGTGAGCAGGTACATGGCGGCAGATTTCCTAAAAGGTGGCATACGGGAGGTAGGTACAGGTAGATTCATATGATGTAGGTAACCACAATTTCTTTAGATACGTTAGGTAAGCATGATATCTTTGGTTAACTACGGTAACTTCACGCACATGCAGATAACTTAGGTAACTACAGGTAGTTTAGACAGAAAAAACATTGATGACATGTATTTACTTATGTATATATATATATATATATATATATATATATATATATATATATATATATATATATATATATATATATATATATATAGATATAGATATAGATATATAGATATATAGATATATGTATATGTATATATATATGTATATATATATATATTGCTTTCAGCGCACCATCTGTTTCCATACCCCAAATATACCAGGCTGGGAGTGTATCTGTAATTTTAGCAAGATTGGTTATGAGAATTTCTACTGTGGTAGACCGAGGAATCCACAGTGAGTCAATTGGCCTCATCTACTCTACCCTTGTTTTAATTATTATTATTTGCGCCTCGGTGTACAGAGTTTTTAAAAAATGCCATTATAAAAGCACTTTTCACTTTTCTTAAATAACACAACACTATGAATAGAGGATACACAAATACAAATTAAATATAAAAATCATAACGTAGCAAAAACATAATACGACACAATAAAAAAACAACCCAACAGGACTTAAAAGCAATCAAAACACATCATACAATCCAGATTTTTAAAAAAAACGGATGAAAAAATAAATTGCAAAATACTTAAAGCGTGACGCAACACAGCGTAACTCAATGCAGGACATTCCTTTTTAATTGGATAAATAGCCACAAAATAGGAAATACATCAAACCTAAACAAAGTATCTTTCTTGCACATCTTGTATAAACTATACTCTTTTGATATAGCTCGTCATGACAACTATTTTCAAATAACTGTCATCTACTCTAACGCAATATGATATAATCAAATTACAATCAGATATAATGGAAACTTATATATATATATATATATATATATATATATATATATATATATATATATATATATATATATATATATATGTACATATATATATACGTACATATATATATATATATATATATATATATATATATATATATATATATATATATACGTACAAATATATATATATATACGTACATATATATATATATATATATATATATATATATATATATATATATATAATATTATATGTTGAATTATTGATATATAGATATAAAATAAATACGCATACATCTATTTCAAATAAACATTTTTTTTCTCGATTACAGACTGAATTGTGGCGATTGGCTAAATGAATACTCTTTGAACCTCGCTCCACCTCATGATGTGACAGAAGCCGAGAGTTCGTTAGTCGCTTCAATTAGTGGGTAATTAGTTTCCTGCTTTTATTAAAATCTATTATATTCAAATTTATATTTTATCTTAATTTATTTCATTTATGAAAAAATATATAAATAATTTCAATAGATACGCATATACACATGTACTATTATGGTTCAAGATATATGTTGCTGTTTTTGTTATTACTTTTATTACATACTTTTTTACAAATTTTTATTTCGATTAGTTTGAATTATTTTCAGAACTCCAGCACAGAGGGAAGTGTCTCAGGACATACAAATAGTCACTGAAAATAAGGGTACGTGAGACTTTGATTTAATGGGTACCTAAACATTCATCTAGGCTCACTATAGGCCTACGTGCAAAATGATGAATTGGTAAATATTGTTTATATCTTTTTAAACATTTCTATGTTGAAGGAATGGTAAAACAATATGTGTTTACTTATGCTAATATAGATTTTCTTCAATTTTCGGAAACAAGTCTTGATTAAAGAAAATCTAAAAATAGTTGTTTTTTTTCTCTTTAGGCAAACTTCCTCAACTACAGCCTTGTCGTAAGTCTAATAAAAGAATCACGTGGGCCAGAGATAACCCAAAAGGCTTCTGGACTTCCGGAAACAACTGGAACTCTCTTATTTGTAAAGAACAAGGAACGATCACATCAGCATGGGCACGGAACTGTCTCCGGAACACGTCCGTCTGGATCTTCGGTGACTCCAACGCTGGACGATCGTACACAATGCTAGTTGGTATAGTGGCGTGTGATCCGATGGTTGGGGAATACCCGGAAAAATCCGTATGCTATGATAAGTCAATTGATCTCACCATTACGCTCATCTCTCACGAACCGCCAAAGTATGCACTCACAAAAAGAGTGGACAACTTCACTGGAGTCCCAGACTTTATCCAAACCTTGCCAAGAAACAAAAAACTCGTTCTGATCATCCATTACTATCTCCACTACACCGCCGCCCATCTTAGTGTCTTATCCTTACGCATGAGAAAACTCAGGGATGCCATCGAGAAAATGCTGGAGACGAACCCGAATGTTCTAGTCGGTCTCAGAATTCCTCACGTGACTTCTAAGTACTACACAACCAACCACGCCGTGGGCGGAGACCCTCTGGGCCCCCAGTACATCGAGCTGATAAGGGAAAGGTTCAGAGGTCTAGAGGATAAAATCGTGTTCTTGGATTTGTGGGAGATGTCCATTGGAATAGAAAATGTTGATTATCATCCACCACAGTATATCAATCGTGAAATGATCAAGTTTTTGCTATCTTTCCAATGTTAGCATTCTATAACATGTTATAAATTAAATATTATATGCTAGGCATTTATAGATGCAGATGTGTTTTATCAAGTCTGTGAATTAATACACTATTAATATAGCATCAAACAAATACTTTTGAATTTGTATGTATTTATACATTAATTGATACATAAAAGCATGAAACGATTGCTTCTTAAAAAGTACACCCAAAACAGAAGAAGACTGTAATACTGTCAGATCCCTACCTACCCACATGGTCATAAATGAAAATATTTTTTTCTTTCTTTCTTGTTTGTTCCTAATTTCAAATGTTGGAATGGGTTCCCTTTAACACAATTAAGTATTACTTGTTAACTTGTTCTTCGCCACAAGGGCCGTGTACTCCAATTTCAGCCTGCTTTTCATTTTGTATTTGTTTTCGTAGCCTTTGTCCAAGCAAGAACAAACAACAAGAAAGCAGTTGTTTGATTTTGGAGTTGTCTCTCGTAGAAGAGTTTCTGTCCCCAGCTACCGAGCCTAATCTTCACTGAGGTTTGAACTCTGGACTTTTCGGTCCAGCATCCATGACATTAACCTTCCCGAAATCACCGACCTCACGGTTTCTGGCATTTATAAACGATGAGTGATCTTGGGAGTATAAGGAAAAAATAACTCTCGTGGGCCTATTAACATCACATTCACATCTGCTTATGTGAAAAGTATTCTAACCATAAGAACATCTTGCTTTGTCAAATTCAACTGTATGATATTCTGTAAATAAATAGGAAAGCGGGGCTGGAAAAAAGTGGAACCTTATTCTATTCAGGGTTATAGGCGTTAGGGTAGGGCTTAGGTATGTGAGATAGCATACATTTTGTTTAATTAACGCAAATCTAATATTTGTTAAATGCTATTATTCAAAAGTAATGTTGTCAATATCGACTATAGCGCGTAGAACGTGCCGGAATTCACACATCTCTGATGGGTACTTGATTCAATTAGGAAAACTAAAGTAGCATCGCAAGTACTCATCACATAATTAGCTTCATATGCCAAGATATCTGAAACCGATAACTCCATAATATGTATTGAAAATATTTCAGCATCCACCAATAAAAAAGCTTAAAATGAGATTACACATGTCATAGTGCTTAAAAAAATCTACAATGAGCGAATATAATACTAAGCTGCACTGTGCTTAGTGTATCTTTAACTGTTAGGGTCTCCGTGAATAATGTAAGCATATGTGAGAGCTATTATAAACAATGATGTGTTTCATTTTACTTTGTCGTATAGGGATTAAATTACAATAGTTCTACATAAAGAAGATGAATAAAAGAACGAAGACGGCTTACATATATTCGAAAAAAGCCAATGAATACCATTAATTGCAACTGATTGTAATCTAGGAAAAAAAATGTAAACTGCTTTTTTTACCTCCCCCCCCCCCCCACCATGATCTAAAAATAACTTCATGTGTTAGTCATAAAGCCAAAGTAACATAATTTTTTTATATGAACCATTAAAAATTAAAAACAAATATATATTATATTATTATTTGAAAAAAACCAAAAAAACAAATTATGACACTATATTTTTCTTAATTTACTTTGCAAACTTATTTGACGGCGTGGCCTAATGGTAGAAAGCTAGATTGTTAACCCGAAAGTCCCAAGTTTGAATCCGTGTTCACAGTCAGTAGAACGTCCCTGAGTCCACCCAGCTCGAATGGGTACCTAACTCACGTTAGGGAAAGTAGAGGCGGCTGGGCATAGAGCTGACTACACTATCCCTTCGTATTCTAAGGCCACAGAAACAAGTAAATCTACTTCACTTGCCCCCATGGAACTTCAGGTTGTGTAAGGGACCTGTACCTACACTGCGTATTTGTTGCAAAAATGTTTACTAAATCCTTAACCAATCCTTAAGGATGAAAATATATATGCTAAGAAAATCTTACATCTGATTACAATAAATCACTCCTAACAGCCATATACACCGTATTCACAGTCAGTTATTCATCATTAACATTAGTAATGACAGCTGCTATCTACGATTATGTCCACACAAGGAAATGTTGTTTCATCTTTCTAATTTCAAACAGTAACGATGAATCAGCGTTGAGTCACAATACGAAATTTTTAATTGATTAAACCACAAGGTTAACATAGAGGCCTACGTGAAAGTTAAAATAGAAAATATTAGTGTTTATTGTAAACTCAAGTGTTTATTGAACTTCGATCTGACTAAATGTATTTTTATAATACAAACACTGAAATATTTTTTAAAACATTTAAAATAATTTCATTATTGTATACTTTTGGGATTGTAACTTCGTAG